TTTTTTGGTCTCTATTGAAACCGATTTTTCTATTGAAATACTCTGTTGTGTAGGCTATGCATGATGTGGTTGGTTTCTACAAGGAGAACACAGCTATCATAGTCGACACGTTCAACTCGCTCGGCTTCAATGTGTACGGAGGCAAAAACGCACCTTACGTGTGGGTTCACTTTCCGGGAAGAAGCTCGTGGGATGTGTTTGGCGAGATCCTTGAGAAGACTCATGTTGTGACCACGCCGGGGAGTGGTTTCGGGCCGGGCGGCGAAGGTTTCGTAAGGGTCAGCGCCTTTGGGCACAGGGAGAATGTGTTGGAAGCATGTAGAAGGTTCAAGCAGCTGTACAAGTAAAGGGGTAAAAAAAGAAAAAACTCTTGTCAGCTGATTCAAATCTGTTGAGGAGAGATATTCTGAAATTCAGCTTGTGATTGTTAGTTGAGTCATGTACTGCAAAATGTTTTTTCATCAATGCTTGAATAATAACATGATGATTGCTTTATTATTAACTTTGGGGGCCTCTTCTTTATGGTTTATTCAATGCTCAAATGTAGTTATAGTAAATTATATTTTACGTTAAAAAAATAAACCAATTACTCGACTTTTTAATCCAATGCACAATTTATCACAAATATAGTGACAAGGTGGACATAATTAGTGTATACAATGCAGATAAGACACATTCTAGCCAACCACTAAAGAGGGGAGAAATAAAACTATATTATTTTTATAATATATAATTGTTTAATTTATTCTCTTTCCTATTCAATAAATTTTTTATTTTGGCCAAGTGGACAATATTGTGTTGGATTACACTGTGCATCAGAGATAATTTTTAAAATTTAAAGTTGTGAATTTAACAATTATCTTATGTGGCTCAAATCCATCTAGTCAATGACATTTTATCAAAATATATGCAATAGCATTTATGCATTGGAGATGCTCTAAACATTCAGTGTCAAACTCAAATTCAAATTTCAATAGATCGTGGGACTTCGTACTCCATGTTTTTTTTTTTCGAACGGCAAATAACGAAAATATATTAACTCAACAAAAAACATATGTTCAAAAACAATGCATACCTAACTATGACGATATAACTTTGAATATGTCTATAGTGGCATTTATATGTGATTTGTAGAGATTAACCATCATTGTTCCACTATAATAAGTTGCTACATTCTCAACATGGATGAACAATAGTGTAGTTTTAGTGAGATAGTTCAGTTCAAAATCTCACCGAACCCAAAAAAATTGAACTTATATAAGAAATAATAGTTGCATTATACCGCAACATAAGATCAACTAAATTGAATTTCAATATAAAAAAAAATTCTCCACTAAAACAGTCGAACCGCACAAAAATGCACCCTTTCGACTCAATTTTTCTATACATTTGTAATAATTTAGTGTAATTTTGTGTTAAATTGCTCCAAACCAAAGATCGCACTTGCGAAAAAGAATAACCAAATCGCAACAATGGTAAAAAAAATCCAAATAAAAATATTTACACATTAAGAAATCGAACCAAACCACACCGAATTATACTGTTCGGCTCGACTTTTCGATGTCGACTCAATTTTGCTCACCAAAACAAATTGGGTCATTTTCAATCTTTGGCCCAACCCAAAAAAATCCGCACCACACCACTTAGACAGAGGCTCGAAATCAACAAACACATCTTCGTATGCCTAAATTACCCTTCATCTTTCTACCTAACTACCTAATTACCACAACCATTTTCTAACGGCTATTTTGAGACAAGCTCCAAATTTAAGAAAAAATCAGAGTCTCAGCCCCTCTTCACAAACGCTCTTCGTCTTCCTCTTTGCTTCTTCAGATTTAGCAGCAAACAATCAATAGAAGCACACAAAATCATTAATTTTCTCGAAGGGTTTGCATCAATGGCGGAATATCAGCAAAGCTCGAGCAGATTATTCTCGATTTCTTCGTGCGAGGATCGAGGTTCGTTCGGCTCCTTAAATTCAGAAGCTTTCGAAGGAGACGAGGAGTTTTACGAGGAGATCGAGGCACCGAAGTTCGTCGATTTCACCGCGCCTGACCATTACTGCCCTGACGATCGTTACTGGTTTTGCGGCCGTGTTGGTTAGTTTCGAAATTCGTTTTTTTTTTTTTCGCTTTTTTTTTTGTTTTGTTTTTCAGCTGCTCGGTTTGGTTTGTTCAGCTGGTAATTGCAGTTGGATTTCTCTAGAATTAATTGGGGCCATTGTTATCTAATTAGTAATTACTAAAGAAAGATGGGCTTTTTTACCTGCAATTTTGTGGAAATCACTTGGGACTGGAAAGTTGAATGTATGTATGTATGCTCCTTGAAATGGAGTATTTGATGTTGATAATTTGAAGATAAACTAGTTATGTTTTGGGCATTCTAAGTCGTATTTTCGGTTTTTAAGAGAGAAAAAAAAAAGTATCTTGAGTTTGTTCAGGTTATTAGTCCTGTGTACTCTCTTTCCCTCTGCACACAAATGGGAGATATTACCTTCTGGGCTTTAGTTTGTATCAGATGACTGAATTTCTATGTTATGAGTAAGTTGTTTGCGCGTAATGTATACACATCGATCACAATAAGATATTAGCTCGATTTCGTTTTCCAATAAGTCGAACTTAATCAGATGCCTGCTAGCTGATTTCAAATTCTCAGTGCTCAATAATCTTTATTGACTGTGTGTGTTCAGGATGTGACCAAAAGCATGAAGAAGAAATGGATTCTGAGGCAATCTACAAGAAGTTTGTCCTCAGGGTTGGTAGTTTTTGTCACTTTCAACTATTCTTAGAAATAAATGAATATAGAATGAATAGATAGGCATATAAAATTGTTGCTTATATGAAATGTTCTATGCTGCAATGCATTTGTTTAAAACAGGTAATGGCAGCTAGGAGTCCCAACCTAAGGCTACGAAAAGCACTCGATAGAAATACCACAAGGTAAAGTGTACAGCCTATATTTTGACTTGGGATGATGGTTCGATTTTTCTGCATTTAGTTATGACTTCCTTCTTTCACCAATGACTGTGTTTAAATGGTATTATGTTTGCCAGAAAATCCCCACTTTCAGCTCCTCCGAAACCTTCCAAGCCAAGATTATCAAGAATGGCCATTGGTGAAAATGGCCGAGACCGAGAAAGAACTGTGAGGCCCGTTCCGAAGCCCGTGTCCACACCAGTGATGAAAACAAAGCCCGTTTCGGCTAAGTATCTCACGACCCCAAGGAACAAGAATTGCACACTGAACCAAAATCCCTTTCGCAGTGTACAGAATCCGAAGTCTACAACAGACACTGATAAGGACTCAAAAAGTAGTAGAGTTGTGGCTAAAGCACTGGTTTTTAAATCCCCGAAGAAGACACTAATAAAGGTGAAGACTTCTGTCGAACTCCTCCGCACTCCCACCTCGAAATTGTGTCAAGGAAAGAATAAGCTTCATATTTCGAACAAATCATCAAAGAGTTTGAACAGAAGTTGCTCGAGCAGACAATTAAGTGGTCGGAAGGTGCAAAGAAAACCTGAGGAGCCGCTATGTATTAAATCTTGTGCTAGTCAAGAATCTGAATCTGGAAAATCTATTAAAAATAAGACCAACAGAAAGTTATCACATAAATCTACTGAGGGAGAAGCTCGTTTGCCTTCAATGGGGCCACCATCTATGCAAAATTCAGGAGTTTTGGCCTTACAAGATGATGATTCAAAAAGAGACCTTGAAGGGAGTGAGAGTTCAAGGTCTAAAGTTTTAAATGAGCAGGATAATAATATTAATAGTTGTGACGGGAAAGAAACTGTGGGCCACAACATAGCGAATGACTCATTTCAAGATATAAGAGAGAAGGATGATGAATACATGGATGGCGATAACAAAGAAAATGCTACAGCCTCTGATGAAAACAGGTAAGAAGCTCTTCTGAGCAGATTTTAATGTTTTCCTTTTCCCTTTCTTTTTATTTTCTCACCAAAAATTATTATTTTATCGAACATGTGCTTATTTAGCGGTATTTGTTTGCAGGATGCGCAGCAAAAATCCAAAGCAAAATGGTAAAAAGATATTTGCTATGCACGACCAGTGCAGTCAAGTTAAGAAGAAGGTTTCTTGTTATGTTCTAGTCCGAATGCATTTCTTTTCTATCTTTTCTTTTTTTCAAAATTTTCCCCTATCACATTCATGATTCTCATTGCAATATTCTTTTTTTTTAAATTATTTTTTTGGTGGGAAATAGGTTACTCAAGCACAGAACAAGATCCTAAAAGAGGGCTTGATTGCCTCTAGCTCAGTGGTGAAGCTCAACAAACCGAAGCCCACAAATCCTAAACCATTTAGGCTAAGAACTGATGTAAGCATTTATACAACATTTGGCTTTTGTTGAAAACAGACATTGAAGAATTCTAATGAAAGTTGCAATCTTCAGGAGAGAGGGATTCTTAAGGAAGCTTGCGTGGAGAAAAGAACTGATCGTCTTCTTGCTCATCCAACTCAAAGAGCAACCTCAAACACACTTAGCTTAAAACTGCACGGAAAACCACACAATGACATTCAGGTAATATTTGTTTTAACTTCTGCCTCACTTGGGCAAAACTTGTATATTGAACAGAGATATGAAAAAAGCAGCAAAATAGAAGCATCGGTCACTTGATAAAGAGAAGTGAAGACATACATATCTCAGTTTCTTAGCATATTAATGCATAAAATAGTTGAAGATTTGCAAGCTCATATAAAAATGTTTCCATAATATTTAAATCTCTCTGTGCAGGGACTTAAGATGCCAAAAAGGCAAGAAAGATCAAAATCAGTAGCTTCATCGATTGCACCAGAAAGTGAAAAACATCAGGAGAAAAAAAAAGTGATCGCGAGTTCCCCTCTCAAAAGCAAGGCAATGCAAAGGTTGGAGAAATTTAGGAAAATCAGTTCTTCTGTTAAGAAATATTCTGTTCGGCCTCAAGGGTAAGTTGGAATTCTTGTTTTTCCTTCTCAGACCATACTTGAAGCATATTAAAAAAAAAAAAAAAANAAGTTAACTGTTTTTCGGATTAAGAAAATTTTTCAGGGTTGTTTCAACAAACAATGATGAAATGGTTGTTTCCTTCCTGATTCCGGGTCAAAAACTCGACGTCATTCATGAAAGTTCTCCCGAAGTTTTGGAACTAAAGAGAGCGTCAAAGACAAATGCAACTTCACTCCAATGCAGCAAGAACATACATACAGTAAGAAAGTAAATGGTTTTACTTGTGTCCATCACAAGTAAATCTTCCGAGTTTGAATTGTGTGTGTGTACCAGTGTTACGTTAGTTTTGTTTGATCGTTAACTGAATTTGTATTCATTTCTCGACCATTGTTTCAGAGTGTACAATTCATCAAGAAAAATGTATTTTGGTGTTTTCTTGTAGTAGTCTGTGTACTAATATCAAATTGTAATGCATAGGGTTTAAATTGTAACCACCTTTTGTAACTGTGGAGAAGAAATTATTTATTTTATTTACATACAGACCTGAATTTCGTTTAATAAACGAGCAATGTCTCGGCTCGATCTTGGCTCATTTAAGCTCGTGAAGTCTCAGCTAGTTTCAAAAACCCGAAATTGTGTAAATAAGACGTTCATGAACACTATTTGTGCATTACATGCTCGACTCAACTGTTCGTTTGAAAAGCTACAAACAAAATATATAAACGAATTGTTAGCGAATGATCGGTTCGGTTGGTTTAATGAATGAGGTTGAATAGTTGTTTGAGGCGAGGTCGAGCTTTCACGAACCGAACCTAGTTGTGTTTGCTAATGACTCGGTTCAGAAAACAGCTCTAAATATCGACCTCAAGGATCTCAAATAGTTATAATGAAAATATTTGGATTTGAGACAATGATGATTAAGCATCAAGTAGCAATTTGTTGGGAACTAAACAATGGATATACTTTGTCTATGCTTTAATATGGGAAAATATATAGAAACTTTAACAGGAAACTCAATGGCGCTTTCTGTAGAAACCAAACACCACAAATATTAGCTCAAAATTTTTCATTCTCTTATATATATTCAACTCAGCTAAGCACAAGCAAACAAACATCAAGAAAATCACATAACATATAGCTAACACGATATATGATCAAAATTCGATTGCTGGATTTTCACAAGATTTACCTCGTTAGAAAACTCCTCTTTTTAAATAACACCTCCCAGCCGAAAATCGGATATTGTGATCATCAAAGGAATTAAAACCAAAGTTTTTCTATACACACGTGCAATTCAAAGAATTTTAAACCAAAGTTTTTCTATATACACGTGCACTTACCTTCTTCGTCGTATCAATTTTTAGAAATCGATAAACCATACCTCATTTTTTTCGCCTCACTGTGAATTCAAAAGCCTTACATCAATCAATCGATTCAAAATTGATTTGAGTTAAAAGCTTTTTATTTTTTTTCGTCATATCAGAGTTTTTTTTTTTTTTTGGTACAATGAATGGAGGCAAAGCCTACGCTACGCCTAGATTAACACGCTCCGAGGATGAGCGACACCAACTCTATCATGATGTAACCACATGCTGACCGCCGGCGGAGGACTCGCCAACCTCTGCAAACCGCCCGGGCATCTCGCCGCCAAGGATGCCAAATAATCCGCCATTGACCTCCCTATAACCATGAACAATATCCACCTCCCACCTACGAGACATGAGATCTCGTATACCTCTTAACAACCCTCCATGTGATCCGCTAAGGTGCTCATTTTTAATCATCTCGACTATACTCTTATTATCAACCTCAACCAAAATGCGTCAAGTACCAATATCCCAAGCCAGAAGCAGACTAAGACAACCACAAGTCTAAAAACAGGTATAATTTGAGAGGTAAAAAAATAATCCTTTGTAAAATGTGCAAAAATGTAACGTATTTGAACCAGGGGCCTTGGGAGTAATGACGTGGAGATGATTGACCAATAGGAATCGAGAGCTTGATTGAGTGGGGTGGTTGTAGCATAGAATTCGGGTTAATGTAGCTAAGTTTGTGAGAAAATGGGAAAAAAAAAAATTGATGGCGTCGCCCGGACTCGAACCGGAGACCTTCAGTGTGTTAGACTGACGTGATAACCAACTACACCACGACACCTGATGATAAAAATTTTACGGGTAAGGTTAATAACTTACCCAACAGTAATCGTTGAGGTTCATTCTTCTCCCATTTCTTTGAGGTGTCCATGTATTTTAAAATCAAAAAAATAGATAACAAGTATTCTACTTCTATAGTTGGGGATCGTTCTTCTCCCAATTCTTTTGCTAATTTCGGCATGTGCATAGTTAAAAATATAAATAAAATATTATAAACTATATGTATGCATATAATATTAAAATTATTAGTTATAGTGATATTATTGTCTAAAATTTAAAAATTAGTAAAAATAAACATTATCAAACAATTTAACTTCATATGAATCACTATAATATTGGTTGACTAAAATGTAATGAATAATGTAATTTTTATAGTTTTGAAGGATCATGACCAGTTAATTGGTTGAGAAAATATTAAATCTATTATTATAACATTTGTTTATGTGAGTTTAAGAGGTTTGGCTATATCATTAAAAACCGATTAGCTTGCTTAAAAAATTATTTAATGGGATTATAAGAAAAAGATAAAATTAATTTTAATAAATAATTTGAAACGCATATAACTTTTTTATGCTTGTGTAGATTTCATATACCATTTAGTGTAAAATACAGTTAGTTAGTTTTGATAATAACTATTATACTATCATAGTTGAAAAAATATAATTATTGTTCAATATTTTAACTGTTATTATAACTCA